CGTCATTTATCATTTGCAATTGATTGATGATAAAACGAATTGTTACTGTTTAAGTGAATGTCTCCAACGAATTCGTCGATGGAGTGAAATGAATCCTCAGCATTATCCAATCTTTTTGTTCTTAGAAATCAAGCAGAAGTTTTATGAAGATTTTTTCACACCTCTTACTGGCGGTGTGCAATGTCAACATTTCCAGGCCATTAAAAGCCAATTATTAGAAGTCTTTTCAATTGATTCCTTCATTAGATCGGAACAGATACGAGGCAATCATCCATCGATTCGTTTGGCCTTAAAACAACAGAGACAAAATGAATTGAATGCCAATTATACCTACGATAATTACGGTTGGCCACCATTAAACCGATCGTTGACAAAAATCTTACCCGTAATTCTCGATGATGCCTATAATGGTGCCGCAGATTTATTTAATACATGTGAGCCACTAATGAATTTTCTCTTCATTGCTCAACAAGCTCTAGATCGTCCATATGCATCGATTATTTCTATATCGGATCCGTTCAAACAAGAACAAAAAATAATTGAAAGTGCAGCAAATGGTCTAATCACGCGTATTTTGCTTGGATATGATGGTCAACAACTTTTCGAAAAATATAAACAAGCTCGAAAATATGATATCAATATCATTAGTACAGATTCAGTTCAATGTGATAACACTCCATTATGTAGAAGTATTGCTGAAGACTTTCCCTCATCTGCTCCTATAATATGCAACAAAATAACGGCACTTAATTTTTGTAATAGAACCATGTTAAGCCTAAGATAATAGTTGTATGAAATCATATACTTTTGATGATTTTTCTCCATGTTCAATAATTCAAAATTTTGTTAGCATAAAGATTATCAAAAGATCTTGCTATCTGATTGTTGTATATGTTGTAGGCAAAATTGGAATTCAGGAAAATTCTACATTTGTCTAGGTAAAGTTGGAAGTCTAATTTTGACCGGGTAAAATTAGAATTCTAATTTCGACTAAACATTTATCAGTCATAACTTTAATTCCAATTCTGCCTGGGTAGATTTAGAATTTGACTACAGATAAATTCATACAATCAAAATAACTAAAATCTGAATAAAAAGAATAATTTTTTAATTCAATGATATCTTTTTATGCCACTAAACGATTTACAAAAGCAAAGATTTTAACTTACTAAAATGAAATTTCGTTTTACCCAAAAAATAAATTTCGAAGAAAACGAGCCTGATGATTTCCTCTTGGGTATAAATAAACATTTAATAATATCATTATAAACAGTTTGTTTTATAAAACTTTTTTTCGAAATCTTTCACTTAAGGAATGAATATGTTTTTCTAATTCTTTATAATAAAGAACCTCGCCATTATCAATTTGGATGGTCATTGAATCCAATTCAGATATTTTTTAAATTAAATTGTAATGCATACATTTATATTTATACTACATTCTAAAAAAGTAGGTTTTTTTACCGAACCTGTGCCCATGAGAAGAACCTTTTTTTGGTTCTGTACGAAATCACCGGATCTTTTTTAAGTTTTGCAGTTTCATATGGAACCTAAAAAGGTTCTTCCCTTGAGCACAGATTCGGTAAAACAACCTTTTTTTTAGAGTGTATTTACCGACGCGACCTCTAGGATTAGTTTGCCTTTTGTTTCAGTTCACTCGACTTTTAGTAAAGCACGTGTTTGTATGAATTTATCTCTAGTCAAATTCTAAATCTACCCAGGCAGAATTGGAATTCCAGTTATGACTGATAAATGTTTAGTCAAAATTAGAATTCTAATTTTACCTGGTCAAAATTAGAATTCCAACTTTGCCTAGGCAAATTTAGAATTTGCCTGAATTCCCATTTTGCCTACAACATATATATATGTAAATAGGATGTATCCTTCATTTCCCTTACAGTCATAATTCCCTTCTTTTATGGAAAGAAGAATCAGATCAATCAATCGTTCAATACCATAGAAGAGAGATAAATTGTTCACCTATCCTTTTGAACATAAGAACGGCATGCAACGCCTAGCTTAGTCTTTATCAAACAATCACTTGCTTAAATCGTAAAAACAGAGAGAAGGACGTGAAGAGCATACATATGCTGCAGAATTTACTTTGTACTGCGCGAAAAAAAAACATATTTTTCGCACTGTTTTCAGATTGACAAGCTCATGATGAAGTTTTATTTTTTTAACACAAATGTGCTTTAACGTCTCGTTTCTATCTTTCCAATTGTTAATGGCATCTGTAATCTTGAGCATACTTCCAAACAATCCAATGACAAAGCTTTCTAATGGAAGCAAACGAACATTACTTGAAATTTGGATGTTTTGTGAGAATAAACACTTGATGAAGTAACATGAAAACGCGAAGAAAGAATTCATGTTAGTTACAAAAAGAAGCTGTACCGAGTAACTGAAATTCATTTACTATGTCCTGTCGACAACTTATTCCAACGACATTTGAAGATAATAGCATTGGATGGCGAAGTTTAGCGTCACAAATGAATAGAACAGAAGAACGACTCGGAAGATGGTAAAGATGCTTCGCAGGATAAGCATGTTTCAATATTTTTATACGCAGTTTTCTTTTTGTTCGACGATAATAACCGTGGATCGACTACTAAATAATGAGTCAAGAACTACTTTTTATAGAAAAAATTAATCGAATTCAAACGAGGATATAACTAGAAAGCCTTTAGTTCTTCGTGGTAGATCCATCTTTTAGAAGCTTGGCTCTATCGTTGAATATTTTGCTTGTAAGACTGGTTTCAGCATACATTTCACATTAATACAACGGAATAACGGCAAAGCTATTATTCGCCAAAAACTGAGAAATAAAAGGGTGTGGGTGTGAATGTGGATGTGGGTGTGGGTGTGGATGTGGATGTGGATGTGGGTGTGGGTGTGGGTGTGGGTGTGAGTGTGGGTGTGGGTGTGGGTGTGGGTGTGGGTGTGGATGTGGATGTGGATGTAGATGTGGATGTGGATGTGGGTGTGGGTGTGAGTGTGGGTGTGGATGTGGGTGTGTGTGTCGGTGTGGGTAAACAATAAACAACAGCATCCATACTTACACCCACACCCACATCCACACCCACACCCGCATTGATGCACTACTACGTATGTCTGATTTGATTTGATCGATTGAACCATATATTCAGATTTTACGATAGAGTGAACAAGAAATCCAACATGAAATAAATGTGTACTATAAAGAAAAGTCTGTATTAGTTGTACGAAAGATGTGAATCCATTGGCTTCGACTTATTATTTTCATTGAGTGAATTCATGGTTTGGTATCCTCTTGAATGATCTAATATTTTGCTAGAGAAGAGAAATATTGATTCAATAGATTACATCGATTGATATGAACCATCAAATGTCAAAAAACAAAAATAAGAATTGAAATCTAAATCGTATCGAGTCTTTTCAAGGCATAATATTTTCTCTAGATTGTCTGATCAAAATTCATTTGTCGAAATCGTGATCGATTGTCAAAACTGGTGATTGACAAAGATAAATATCGAAAGTGCGACTCGCCTCATTGATTCAAAATGGAACGCATCGCATTTGAAACTGAGTTTCACATTGTATAGGTGTGCACCAGTGGCAGTAACTGGGTCCCAGTCGGACTGGGTACTTAGTCATTTGACGTTTATTCCGCTAATCTATCGGTACTTCCCTCTTTTCTAAGGGTGTGGGTGTGGGGGGTTGGTTTGACGTTGGTATGGGTGTCGTTATTGCCATTCTAACTATTCCCGCATCGAAACAACATCCACATCCATATCCATCCAAACAAGACCCACACCCACAATCCACCCATGCACATCTGCACCCTAGCCATACCCACACCCTGAAAACATGAAATTCATTTATAGTATTCTAAATTATAATGATTGATATATAGAAATATATGATTAGCCAATGGATTTAGTATCATAACTTATTTCACTACTTCAACAGCCTAAAAATCACTGTATGGCAATATACTCGAAAAGAAAGTACTACTAGACTAATGGACTAAATATCAAAGGACTCAGTACCCAGTCGAACTGGGTATCCAGTCGGACTGGACACCCCGTCGGACTGGATATTCAGTCCGACTGGGACCCAGTTCACCAGTCAGAACTGGGACTGGTGCATCCCTAACATTGTACTATGCACGATTTTTATAGAAAATATTCAAGCTCTACTAGCAGATCCTGATGAGTTGCATCTAATGACAACATTGCACAACATTCAAAAGAAGACTAGTGATCGCATCAATTATTCATTGAATTTGAAAGCTCTGAAGAATTCTCTTGAAGAGACCTCATTACTTTAACAAGTCAACTGTAACAACAAACGGGATGTGTAGCTCACCATCACCCTCAGTAATAAAATTTACTGAGCTATTTCAAACCTAACACTTGCTTATATAGGATAGAGCAAGAGAGAAATGAACACAGGAAAGAACAATAGAGAGATAAGAGAAAGAGAAAAGAAGGAAGGAAGGTCAGCGTAAGGCATGTGATTGTCAACGTATGTGTCGATGTGAGTGTTACTGGAAGAGAATATGCATAGCTACACATCTACAATCTCACCTACACAACACATATTCAGAGTCGCACACACACCGACACTCACATCTATATCCATACTTCACCTCCGCGGTCATGCTTACGATCACACCCACACCCTGAACGATCCGCTATCTGTAAATCATTGTGAAGGATGTAAACATTCATCAGAGCCAGTCGCGTTAAGATCATTGTGAGTCATTTTCAATGTCGTTTCCTGATTCTCAGTAGTCTTATGTGATGGACACTGAATTCTTTTTCTTACAGGCATTCAATCGCAATTTGTCTTGAAATAATCATAGAAAATGACCGAAAATGGAATGAAACCACAAAAACAAATTTCGAGGCTATTTTTCTCGTGATGTCCTATTTAAGTCATAGGATAAATATATTGGTCTTCATTGCTACGGAAGTATGCATTTATAGCTTTGTATTGTTGTTTCAAGAAGCGGACTAACCACCACATCCACCACATCCGCCACATCCACCACACCCACCACATCCTCCGCCATCACCGCCACCTCCGTCACATCCTCCGCCATCACCGCCATCACCGCCACCTCCTGCACATCCTGCATGGCCACCACTACCGTCGCATTCTCCTCCAGCGCCACCCCCGCCACATCTTCCACCACCAATATTCGTGCCATAATTACTACTTGTATACAAAACTGGTACAACTATCATCGCACAACTGCTAACGTATTGTGATGTACTTAAAGAAGTTTTGTCAATATTCTGGCCATATTTTATCGTATAAGCATTCTTCCATCGAGCAGCTGTTTCTTTATAAGCCTTTTTCAAAGTGCGTTTGTCAATCGAGTCGTTATGATCAAGGAGAAAGCCACAAAGAGCTTTTGATATTTTTTCATATTCTGATGGATTATTCATGCTAGCATGCCATATTAGATCAATATCAAATGTTGGTACAATCATTTGTTCTTTACTAGCTAATTTCACAAATGAAACATAGTTTTGCACCATTTGCTCGAAATAACTGCGATCGAGTTGTTGTAAATTCATTGAAAAGAGAGGATGGTTATGAAATTTCTGAAGAAACTCAGTTTGAGAAATGACAGCACTTTCCAAGTCGATAGACGGAGTAAAACGTGGATGACTGCCGGCTAATTTAAGCGAGAGGTATAAAGGATATGCGGAATGTCGCTTGATTATTATTCTTCGATATAATTTTTCGACCACTCGTCTATTAGGCAATTGTTCAGTGCAGTCTCGAATATAAGCTATCGGATGAAGGCGATGAACATGCCAGATCCAGTGGATTTGCCACGGTAACTTTGATTGGGTGTATTGTGTTTGCATTTTATTGAAAGACATGCGCCTACAATAATCATCAATGACTCTATTCAGCTTATGTCCTCTCTGCGACATTTCAGGATGTGCGATTACTTGACGAAGCAGTAAGATATGTTCAAATAAATCATCAGACGACATAGAAAATTGTTTTCCATCACTTGTACGAATATTTACCAAATAATGAGGTAGCATTGTTAAATAAGAGTTGCCCATTTTTATTACAATTTAGTGCAGTCTATGTAAAACATGAAATAATGGAAACAAAGCAGGAGTGCTTAATGCATTGAATAGGCCCACTAGAGTAGATATGTACCGCCTGAGTCTAGACCGAGCAGCTTGGGATAGGTCGGAATTGAGCTCAACCAGATCCTAAACGAGTCTAACCGAATCTGAGCTCGGGTTCGATACATGCCTACCCACAACCTTAGTCTCGCTCTCCATCACCTTCTCGCCCTGATCTATCTATTAGTTCGTCCACAACAACATCATGCTGCCCCCGTCCATCTAACTTCAACGACATCCACACCATCAATCATCACTTACACTCAAATTCCAAAATTTCAAAACTTCTAATCATCCATGTCATTGAGTTAATTGTACCTCAAATGTCCCTTTTCATAAAACTCTGAATTCCAATGAAGAATCAATACTTTTGGAATAGAAACAATAGTATTGTGAGTAAGCGTGAATGGATCGATGTGTGAGTATTCTACAACCAAACTCATAGATATGCATACCCATACTCGACCACAAAATCAGCTGGCCAATTTTAGTAACGAGTACTATTCTACGTACAACGTAGTGAAGTGTCTTTGGCAGATCGCTAGTTTTTTATTGGAATTTATTACAATGCTTTTTTTTCGGAGACTATCGGATGCAGCGTACTTCAGCAGTTTATCCATATGCAATTATCTCTATCGAATGTTATAAAGCAACTAGAGCGGTCTGTGAAAACGTTTGCTGTTTTTTGTGCCACTATTAAGGAAAGGAACTCTGTATCTCGAATTCGTTGAGACTTTCTGATTCTTCTTTACAAAGTTATGAGATTTAGAGAATCGGCTTGCCACTCGACTCTCGGCAGAAAATAAAAGTATGTTGAAACATATATTTTATGAACTACTGAACAAGCATTAATTTTTCAAATCAGATGTGAGAGCGATTCTTGTAGACAATGTTTCGACGAGTGGAAATAAGAAGTTTCAGATTGATTCGCAACGCAATAGGATTTCGATACTGATTAGAGAATAACTGCTATATTCAATGTCAATATTTTGAGAACATTTTGAAATTTCTTCTATAACGAAACAGAGGAAGCTTCTGATTCTTAGGCATCTGTATACCTTCTACAACTGTTTGTTGTGACATCTGACTCTCGCGCGCTTCTCACGATCAGAACTTAATACAAAGTTAAAACTTCGACGACAGCATGTGCCTTATAACTTGCTAATCTTTTGTGAAGCTCAATGGAGTACTTTCATTCATAGTGAACACTACTTTTCTAAAGGTCATGGATTATTCTCTATATGATAGCATTATTTTTGGGTTGTCTCGAGAAAGTTAGTCTGACTTTCTGGTTCTTGTGTTTTCAATAAGAGACAAGCTATGAACTCGATCCAAATCGTTGAAGAGATGAGGCACACAAATTGGCAGCTCGTTAGAATATGCATCAAATAATATGTCATTTGCCTACTTCGTAGAATTGCTGAATAAGCACACGATTGAGAATTTCGAGATCTAGTTTTTCAAAAGATTTTAAGAGCTAGTACCATTCATAGCTAGATCGCTAACCCAACGTCTTCAGTTCTTTGCCTAAAACTATAGAGTAGAGACTTTTATAACAAATGGACTAGATAACGCGGAGTATTTTTATTCTTATCTAGGATTGCAAACACTTTTTTCTAGCTATAAATCGTTTCAGAAATTTTCGCTCTACAATATTGTCGAATTTGTTTCTCAAACAACTTCTCTGGTCGAATAGAAACTCAAAATACTGACAGTTAATCAATGGCCAAACTGCGATTTCAGATTTTCTACAGACACCTATCGATTGATGTAAGCTTTTGCTCAGCAACCGCAGTGATAAAGCTAATGCATTGAGGTTTTCTTGCTTACTGCTTTCACGGCCTATTTAAGGTACCTTTTTCTACTTTTTAGGGCTAATGATTTGGTACTGACATGTTGTAATTTTTTTGGAAGCATCTTGGAGCATTATGTTTCTTAAAACGATACTAGGCCTATGAAACTCTCATTGTGATGTCTCCAGGCATGGAATTGAGTTTCGAAGAGAATTGTATGACTATTTAATTGAAGAGAGAACACGATGGAGTGTATCGTTTTGCAATAGGGGAATAATACAATTCTATCGCAAAATGTTTTCTCACATGTCTTCGCATTAATTCATCAAAATATTTTCTTTTAAGTTTTCTTACAGAATTCTGAAATATACAGTACAAGATACAGTATTTTGTGAAAAATTTTGTGGCATAGTTGAAATTTTAGTGGAAGTTTTATTTGAAAATTATCGTCAGCCCTTTTGCTTTTTGGACCATCACAGTACGACATGTTGAGTAGGTCTTAGTGTTTTGAATATTGTTTCAAAAAGAAAAAGTTATTTGAAAAATAAAATCGACAGTTTTGTAGAGCAGTACATTCTCTACTTATTGAATATAAACTGTGAGTGCAATGCCCCAAGAAAGTTGTTAAAAAGGCAAGAACAATAATGTCCTGCTTTATCAAGCCACACTATTGTATCGACATCTAAAGCAGAACTTCAAAACTTGAACCAAGTGAGAATGAGAGTTTTTGCCGGAAGATCCGATGCTGTTTTTTTTCTAATAAAATCTCCAATTTCTAAACTCTAGCTGCGACTTCCAATAATAGAAAAACTCAGAAAAAGGCACAAAGTTCATTTTATAGTTGCACGCTTAGTGATAAAAGCTGAGCGGTATGAGTAGCGTAGAAAAGAGTGAAAGTGCAACGCACGAAGGTGTAAGCTCGCCCCCAGGTCTTTAGGTTAATCTTAGAGCTAAACTGATAATGAACATATTCTAGAGTATATCTGAACGATCTCGCAATTAAAGTAGACAGTCTAAATCTGTCAAATTAACTTTATTCAATTTGTCACATTAGATAAAATGTGATGAATTACTCTTTCGTTATTGTATATTACTCTAAGGGAAAAACTCACATCATTTGCAAGTGGAATCTCGCTGTACACTTTTTCTGAAAGAGTGTTGTTTGTTTATAGTCTTTCGTTCGCGAAAAGCTTCTGTAACATCTGAAGGATAAGAAAGTTCTTGCATATGCTAAGATGGGGAAATGATTATGTTGTGCCATTGAAATAGAGTGGTTTTTCTTTCAAAATGCTCTTTCAGTTTGAAGTGCAATGAATGTTTTTAAAGATACGAACCTAATCCTTTTAACATAATAAAAACAATCTTTGAAAGCCCCTAAGAATAGTCTTTTTCTGAACAACCAGATCGAATCAAGTTATTCAGACAAACTTTCGAAACTATTCGAAATAAAATAGAAACTTCTATCATACGAAAGTAGGAGTGGTGCATTAGAATTAACATTAGCATTTATTAATACAAATTCTAATGCTTTAAGCATTAGTGTTAAAATTAAGCCTAATGCTTTAGCATTATTGGCATTAGTGTTAAGTAATGCATAGATGTTAGCATTAAATTAGCATTATTTTTAACACTAATACTTGGATTCGGAAAACAGCAGAAAATTGTTCTGTTTTTTGAAAATATGACTCATCGATGACTCATCAGTGCGGCACCAATGAGTCATACTTATCCAAAACAGAACAAATTTTTCATGTTTTTGGGGAATATGGCTTACGGATGAGTCATATTTCCAAAAACAGAACAATTTTCTACTGTTTTCCGAATCGAAGTATTAGTGTTAAAAATAAGGCTAATCTAATGCTAACACTTATGCATTACTTAACACTAATGCCAATAATGCTAAAGCATTAGGCTTAATTTTAATACTAATGCTTAAAGCATTAGCATTTTCGTAATACTAGTGCTAACTTATCACCCCTATACGAAAGTCTTCTCTTCAGTCTGAATAGAATGTGTTGAGGACAACTCAATAATTTGTACTCATATGTTTACTGTGAACTGTATGTGATCGAACAGAAGTTTTCCGAAAACTCTCTCAAGATTGACTGTTGTTGGATGAAAGTCAACTTCTGAAAGAGATGAGAATACTCAATCATATCAAACGGAATGACATGTCATAAATGATATGGACAGTGTCATAGTCAAATATAATGTTCTGTGGTCTTTCTTTATGATGGATATCATCTTTGTGCAAAATGAAAGAAGTGTGTTTCAATGCTACCAAAAAATCTTGTTTATGGGAACTAATTTAGTTCGAATATATGGATAGCTGATGATGTTAAGCAAAGAGCAAGAAAGAGAAAACGAAAGTTTTTTCTACTTGACACGTGACAAAACACTAAAGCAGACCAATTGCAAGAATGAAACTTACCGTTGCTCTTGTCACTGATGACAATATTAGTCTGAGAAAGATCAACGATCGTGAGGAAAAACCTTAAAACAATCATAAGCGAATGCTTTCGCACAAATGAAAATAGGTCAACAAAAATTATACTTCAATTATAAAGACAGTAAGGAAAGAAGACCTTCAGTATT